GTATGTTGTGTTTTCATTCTCATTTGATTCAAGGAATTTTTTAATTTCATTTTTTATTTCTTCTATTACTCTGTCATTTTCAAGGAGGGTGTTACTCAGTTTCCATGTGTTTGCTTTTTTTCTGTTTATCTTCCTATTGTTGATTTCTAATTTTACAGCATTGTTATCTGAGAACATGGTTTGCAGTATTTCAGTGTTTGTAAATTTAGCAGGCTTGCTTTGTGGCCTAACATATGATCAGTCATGGAGAATGTTCCATGTGCACTGGAGAAGAATGTATATTGTGGTGTTGTTGGGTGAAGTGCTCTGTAGATGTCTGTAAGGTCAACTTGGTGGATTGTATTGTTTAGTTTTTTTTGTGTCTTTGTTGAGTGTCTTTCCAGTTTTTCTATCTTTCATTGAAAGTGGTGTATTAAAGTCTCCTACTATGACTGGAGTCATCTGCTTCTCTTTTCAGTTCTGTTAGGGTCTAGTTTATGTATTTTGGGGCTCTTTCACTGGGTGCATAGATATTTTTATTGTTATATCCTCTTGTTCAATTGATCCTTTAATCATTACATAATGTCCTTCCTTGTCTCTTATGGTGGTTTTTGTCTTAAGACAAAATTTGATGAGAAATTAATATTGCCACTCCTGCTGTTTTGTGGTTGCTATTTGCTTGATGTATCTTTTCCCAGCCTTTGATTTTTAGTTCTGTCTTTCTTTCTAAGGTACTTCTCTTGTGGACAGAATATTGATGGGTTATGTTTTCTTATCCAGTCTACAACTCTCCATCTCTTGAATGGTGCATTTAATCCTTTGATATTCAGTGTAATTATTGACAAATATGAATTTGTTGCTCTCATTTTGTTATGTGCTTTTTTGTGGTGTTGCTGATTTCTTTGTTCCATATAATTTTCTGTGCTGAACTCATTTTGTTTATGAATTGTGTTATCATTTCCTTCATTGCTATGGTTTTAGTATTTGGTAAGTATTTGTTGTGCTGGTCCTCTTTCTTATTTTGTTGTGATGGTTTATCATTTTTCTTTGAGGTTACCCTGTGATTTATAATTTTTTCCCCAAGTTTAGAACAGTCTATTCTATCTTGCAGCTGTCTTGACTTCCCTATCATTTAGAAGTTCTGTAACTACACAGTTTTTTTTTCCCACTTTTTGGTTTTTAGTTGTCCTCATTTGTCAATTGATATTTCTGGTTCCCTGTTTACAGTGTTGTATGCTTATTTACTTTGGATACTTCAATAACTGGGTTGTCTTCTGGGTTATATCATGTGTGTTAATGGTAGGTTGTTTTCTATCCAAAGGACTCCCTTTAGCATCTCTTGTAAGGTTGGTCTGGTTTTAACAAACTCCCTTAATTTCTGCTTCTCTGGAAATCTATATTTCACCATCATGTTTGAGGGACAATTTTACTGGGTGTAAAATTCTTGGTTTGAAATTTTTTTCTTTCAGGGTTTTATATATACCATCCCGTTTTCTTTTCACCTGCATGGTTTCTGCCAAGAAATCCAAGCTTAGTCTTATTGGTTGCCCCTTATAGGTAACTTTTTGTTTTTCTCATGCTGGTTTCAGGAGTATTTCTTTGTCTTTGGTTTAGGTGAGTTTGATGATGATACATCTTGGTGATTTTATTTTGGGATCTATCCTGTTTGGTATTTATGGAACGTCTTGAATGGATATATTCTCAACTTTCAGCATATCAGGGAAATTATCTTCCAACAAATCTTAGACAATTTTCTCTGTGGTTTTATTTGACTCTTCCTGTTCTGGAATTCTGATTACATGTAGGTCATTCCTTTTGATGGTATCCCATATGAACCTTAGGCTTTCTTCCTTTTGTTTTGATCTTTTTTCTGATTCATCCCTTTCCAAGGAAGTATTGAAGTATTGAAGTATTGAAGCCTTCAGTCTCACTAATTCTGCCTTCCAATGATTCAATTCTACTCCTTTATCCATTGAGTATGTTATCTATTTCTGAAAATTTACTATTAATATTCTGGATTTCTATCTGTAGATTTTGTATCATTTCTAACTTTTCATTTTTTCATTTTGTTCTTATTTGTCTTTTGAAATTTTTCTAGGATTTTTTTCTGTGTTTTCCTCAATTTTTTCAGTGTTCTCCTTGATCTGTCTCTCAATCCATTGAAGGTACCTAAATATAATTCTTTTGAATTCCTTATCAGTAAATTCCATTGCTGCTTCTTCCTCCAGGATGTGTTCTGGGTCTGTATCCTGGTCCCTTGTTTCTCCTGTTTTATCTTGCTTTTTTGTGTGGACTGTGATGGTCTGTTATCTCAGAGATATTGTGGCATTTTTGTGTTTATAGTTAATTGGTGATTGTATGTTGAAGTGATTTGCCCAAGATTTTCATTTTCTTTGTTTTGTTTGGATGTTATCTAAGTAATAAGGGTACTGTGCTCCTCTGTTTGCTAGTTGGCAGCTCTCATATACTCACCACCTGTCTCCTTTCCTATTGTCAGCCTCCTGTATGTTCCTGCTGTCCTTGGCAGGCAGAGACTATTCTTAGGTTCTGTTTTCATTCAGATTCTTCCACTAGTTGGTGCCTAATCTACTTTTTTTTTATTTTTTTATTAGGATTTGGGTGAAGATTTACAGAGTAAATTCACTTTTCATACAGCAGTTCACATATACTTTGTCTCATGTCAT